CCATTCTGGCGGGCTTTGGCAGGCTTGGCGGGCTTCGTCGCCATAGGCTCGTGCAGCCCTGCTGCCTAGCCATTGGTTCGTTTTTTAATACACTGCACAAACCAATGGCCGTGCAGTTTCACTGCGTGAATTAAAAAAGGCTTCAGTTCAGGAGAAAAAAGTATTTTTCCCATATGCGTCTAGCAAGATGCAGTACGAGTGTAGTATCGAAAGGGAACCAGAATGCACTAGTGTTTTATCAGTCTTCTGGGAATCTATTTTTTTTAACTAGTTGGCCACAATGAGCATTTCCAATGAAGAATTTGTCGTTTGATTTCCCAAAGTTTAAACTTATGCGTCAAAACACATTCAATAGCTTTGTTTGAGGAGGTCAGTAACACTGAAACAAGATATCCTCAAGTGCAACTGTGTGTTTTGATTTCTTTGCCAAATGATGGCATAATTAATGGTCAGTAATCTCAAAATAAAACAGTGACCACTTTATTGCATGTCAGAGTATTAATGGTATCATCTAAATGGTGGTTGTTTGTTTTGCATGTAGATCATATGGGTCCTTCCTGTTTATGTGGCTTGGAAAAAGAAAATTAAAATGTAGACCAGACGTTTTATACACAGCCTGATTCTGAAAGACTATTCTTACCCTGGACCATTTCACCTCACCATTGATTTTCAAATTGGTTTTGCAGAGTAAAACTTTTGAGGAAGCATTCTGACACTTACCTGTACCTCCACGGACTGCATGGCGAGGTCACAGGGTGGTTTAAGTGCTTTGGGACGAGTGGCCAGCCAGTATGTAGTGATGGCAGCGAAAGCGCCCATGCCCATGAGGGTGTTGGTGGGTAAACTGCGCACATACTGCCTCAAGTCGTCCAGCTCAGGTATCCGCAGGTGCCGGATCAGATCCTGGGCCTGCATGGCTCTGCCAATTCAGCTTGCTCAAGTCTGAAAGAAGAAAACACAGGAGGAATTTAGTGGGACAAAGCTGAAAATCAAGTTTGAAATTCATCCATTGAAGTGAATGCTACATATGTATATGTATAATGAATATTTGGCATTATTTCTGTGTTAACAACACATATTAACTGACTGACAAAGAAAAACACATTTTGTACACAAATGAATAAAGCAGGAGATTGTAGTTGAAGAGTAATTTAAAATGTATTTCTTGATACAGTAGACTTCGAATGCACAATTATATTCCTGCTATATTTATTATAAGAAAATATTATTCTAATTTATTGTTTATATTTATTATTAAAAATATTTTTTTATTTTTGTTATTCTATGAGCTTAATAGTGGAAAAGTGTTCCCTATTCTAAAGTGTTACCAAAAATTCATATAAGTGCAGAATTAATATTTTATTACAATCTTATGATTAACAACATTTCGTATTATTTCGACATCTTAAATCGGTTGTAATAAATCCGTCGAATCAATGAATGGAAGCAAATCGTTTTTTTAGTATTTTCAGTGTACTCTGCAGTCTGCACTGTAAAAACAATTTTTAAAAGTTTTAAATAAAACATTACTAGAGTACATTTTACAAGGAAATACAATTTCAAATTTTCAGATTTTGGTTAATTCAATAAGTTACTTGTAATTGTTTGTAAAATTTACTAGCAATTTCTGAGTGAAAATGTACCACTGTACCACTGTATCCTTTCACTGTACCATAAAGGACGACAGTAACATACAGAACAATTTCATTTTTAAGTTTCTGTTTTACTCACTCTATATAGCATAGGCTACCAAAAACTGAATACATTTCACAAAACACAAATAAGCCAATAAAATGTCAATATCTGTTGAAGGCAGATCGCCAATTTCAGTATTTCTCAAGGTGAAAACATTCTCTAGTTTCCATTCTACTAAAGTCCCTATGCCTGACCTTGAAATAATCTAAAGAGTCTAAAGTTCACACACATTTACATAGCTATCTGTCACACTTTGCCTATGGCGAGGAGCGCGGAGCGAGGAACGAGGAGACCAGGAGTACACGAAAACAATAGTCTTTTAATCCAAACATCCAAGGAAATACACGGGGCAGACAGGAGCACAGGAAACGCCAGGGTTGACGTATAATCTCTGACAAACATGAACTGAATGGACTATGGCTTATAAACACAGGATAATTGGGGAAACACAGGTGCATGGAATAACTAATTAACGGAGACACGGAACACATGTGGAGGGAAAACACAACACAATGAGTCCATAATCCTGACACTATCTAAATGAGAACATTCCATAAAGATTATTTGCTTTATTTATTCATCGATTTTTCCAATTAAGGACACCAAATTTCACCCTGATTTACCTCACTTTTGGGGGCAACATTACACCTAAAGTATCACAGGCAAAAACACACCAGCTTGGCATAACAAAACTTTTATGATAAAATCAAAGCATGATTCAAAGCAAAGATGGAAAAAAATACTTGCCTGCAACTCTAGTTGTTGGATTTCTTCTGTGTGTGTGTGGGGGGTAATATAATAAATATATGGTAATATTATGTTTTTTTTAAGGGACGCTTTCAGCCTGTGCCTGTTGTAGTAGTTAAACTGACCTGAAGGAACTACTGGCTATGAATAGCAGAATGACCCTCACAGACAGCAATACCACCACGTGGGTCTCTCTCTTTTTCTCTCACTCTAAACTGTCACTGAATTTTCCATCTCGATTTCTTCCTTTCTAGTTCTCATTCGTCTCCCACTTCTCATTTCATTCTGAATGTTTTTTACCCACTGGCTTCAGTATTTAAACCCTGTAGTCTGTTTTAGCAGATGCAATCGTGTGTGTGTGTGTGTGTGTGTGTGTGTATGAAGTTGGTCTTTTGAAATGCATCAAAACACATGGCGATGCTGGCATCCCACACATCAATACAAAGGGCACGGTTGCTTTTCTTATCTCAGAAACATAAGCACACAAATCCAATCCAAAGATGTTAGCGCTGGCATTGCTGTGTTTGTGTGCGAAATTCCTGATGAACAGCACAGTAGCTGATAGTCGTATAGCAGATCTGCTCTGTAATACGAGAACAAGAGATGTGTGGCAGCTCAAACACTCCGCTACTCAAACACAATACAGTAATTCACAAACATAAAGAGAGAAAAAAGGAAGACATTCCACATGTGGCTGAAAGTAAGCTCCCTCATCTCACTGAATTTGTCAAGAACATGTGCAGGTTACATTTGACACTAAAAATCAAAAGAAGTTACAAATATATTTGTCTGGCCTAATTGTTAACTAAAACTATTAAAACATTTTCATTAACTGAAATGAAGCTAAAATAAAATAGAAATAGTAGATTAAACTAAGTTCAAGTTGAAGTCACTAAAACTTCTAAAACTCAAATAAAAATAAATTAAATAAATACAAATATTAAAAAAAAAAATACTAAAATTACTAAAACAAACTAAAATTTAAATTTAAAAATTCAAAATATTAATAAATAATAGCATATGAATAATACTAAAATGACACTGGTCATCATAACACTTAAGCTCATTTGTCCCCAAATTCTCATTAGCATGAAACATTTTCATTCACTTTTGTAATGTAGAAAAAAAAAAAATAATCTTATTTCATTTCCAAAGGACCAGCAGATACACAGTATATCAGCATCATATTGGTTATCGGTTGATATTAGTGATTTTTTTCTATAATTTACTGGTGTGGGTTGAACGGTTTCTTTAAAATATTTAACACTGCATGCTGAATTCACTTTTAAAAGCATTTTTCAATGTCACTGAAGGTTTAAACATCTGTGTGTGGCTGCACATTGTTAGTATAAACATGAATTGAGTTATTCCTGAAAGATGTACTGTGTGCTTATGTCCACATAAGACTGTTTCTAAGAGGGTTAAATTGACAGTGTGTGTGTGTGTGTGTGTGTGTGTAAATGTTAGTGCCAGCAGCTGTGTGTATCTGGCTCACACATGGGAAATGTCATGCTGATCACATGGCAGGACTGGCAGTGCTTGTCCTCGAAGTGAAAACTAACCTCTCTCCATACTTGGGCTGCAGACAGTATAAACCAATGACAGAGCTACACTCACAATCAGCCCACTGAGAGAAAGACAGTGAGAGTGAGACAGACAGACAGACCGAAAGAGAGACAGACAGAAAGTCCCACGGCAGAAGCCAGAGGAACTTTTTATAACTCACACAACTTAAACTTGTAACCCGGAACCCGGAAGTGTGTATTTGGCACAGAAATACGTCCAAACCGTTTTTTGAAACTTTGGCCATGTTTAGCATGAGAATCCAACTCTTTAACAGTGTAAATAACTCAACATGCATGAAACAGCATTGGACCCCCCTTTTAATGAGGATTCATTTAAGTATCAACTTGACCTCGGACGTTCCAGCTAAAGATTTTGTAGAATAATTACAATTAGATACAAATCAAGAAACACATTTTCAAAAACATCTGAGTAACAGGAGATTCTACCAAAGAGTTCTGCATTTAGTCTTAATGCTGAATGAGAGAAACAACTGAGATATTAAAAAGATATTGCAGGCTGAGAAAGCTCTGTAAAGCATTATGTCACATAAATGGAAACCAATGGAAAAAGAGAGAGAGAAAGAAGCTAGAACAAACAGCTGCCAAAGATATTGCAGGCTGAGAAAGCTCTGTAAAGCATTATGTCACATAAATGGAACCCAATGGAAAAAGAGAGAGAGAAAGAAGCTAGAACAAACAGCTGCTCTGACAAATGGCACTCAGGACACCAAACTCATGATAGACACACACACACACACACACACACACACACACATTTGTAGTTCTGTAAAAGCTTGAACACGTCAAGCTGAATAACTCGCAGGTTAACAGAGTCAAAGTCAACTGTGCTCTTAATACTGCAAATTCACTTAGTCAAATATTTTCATATTTATTAGATTTATATATATATATATATATATTTTTTTCCCCCATTAAAATTTCCAAGACGGTTTCAGAAATTTCAATACACCCAGTGGTACTGGTATTGTCAGCTTGGTGACCTCATAATCAAAACTTTAATAACATTTATTCACATTATGGAATTAACACCAAGCTTACTTAACCAATAAAACATGTGCAAATGCCCTAAAAAGTCAAGATGGAACAGACACAAAAACAGGAAAGCAATGTCAAAAAGGAGATTTGTGGCTTTAGTCCAGGTAGTCCAAGGTAATTTAGTGTAACTCTTAAAGGTTTAAAGAAATGACCTAAGAAATATTATCTACCTGCAAAATTGAACTAAATATTGATGAAAATGATGTACAATAGCATTCTCTCTGGAATGAGCCAATATATGTGAGCCTGGAGCACAAAACCAGTCTTAAGTCGCTGGGGTATAGTTGTAGCAATAGCCAAAAAAACATTGTATGGGTCAAAATTATCGATTTTTCTTTTATGCCAAAAATCATTAGGATATTAAATATTAATGTTCCATGAAGATATTTTGTAAATTTCCTACCGTAAATATATCAAAACTTCAGTTTTGTTTAGTAATATGCATTGCTAAGAACTTCATTTGGACAAATTTAAAGGCGATTTTCTCAGTATTTAGATTTTTTTGCTGTATGTATATATATATATATATATATATATATATATATCATTTTATCAGACTGTGACATATAAAAGCTATTTGCAGTTTTATAAAAAGATCATCCCATTTCCATATTAATTGGAAACGCATCAACAATGCAATGACATGCATGTCTGTCAAATCTTTAATTGGTTCTTTTTTCTGCATTACAGCACCTCTGCTTTTTTACATTTCTGAGAAGTCAAACTGGACATTTGGCCCTTAGTATCCCACTGTAATATGTAGTGTAATTCCAGGAATTGTATCTCATAACATCCTCTTTCCTACTACTTGTTTCACTTCTGTTTCAGTTTTTTATAACCATTTCTTACTATGTGTCAGTAAGTTGTTGTTATTTTAGC